AGCCGTCCTATCCCATCGTCAAGGCTAAGAAGGGTTTGGCTCAGTCTCCTGAGATGAACGCGGCCACGGCCTTTGCCCATTTCATCCACAAGTTTGGAAAGCTGCTTGCTTACCTGTAGAGTTTCAGAGATTCCGAATGTAGGCCGTGGGTCCCTCGCGCTACTAGGATTTGCAGCATTCCCGTGTAGGTCTTCGTTTCCTTTCCATGGCTCGGAACCCTGGTGTACGATACTTCTACTTCGAGTGTTCCCCAGGCCTTGGTACTTGGGCGGGGCTTAATGCACCTCACCTGAGCAAAATACTACAGAGCCGCATCCTCATGGCTGGGCTTTCATGGGACAGGCTTCGCCTGGTCACGATGGTGTTTCCACCCACCTTCCCGAACCATCTCCAAATCATGTGAGATCACTCGTGCTATAAATTTGACCCCAAAGTGAGCTGTACATCGACCCGTTTATCCAAGATTCTCCAGTCCAGCAGGTGCCGAACCTTATGCTCGCAACACTATTTTACAGTTCTGTTGTACCTTCGCAAGGCTTTTTCAACCCCCCGCAGAATACACCGAGTGCCATCTCCGCTAGCACGCCTTCTGGGTCACCGTGTTCGCAACTTCGCCATGACTGACAGTTGAGCCTCCTCCCTCGCAGTCTGGGCAGTAGCCAGCACACGCATTTCTTCCAAATGTTTTTGGTTTACCACTTGTGTACTGCAGGGGAATGAAGCTTGCGCACTGAAACCTCCCCCTGTGGCTTTGTGGCTTTGACCGTGACAGATAATTGACAACCTTGTCCTTGCTATGTGGGAGGGAAAAAATTGACAACCTCGCACCTAGAAGACGGGTAGTTTTGGGTGAAGGTGTTTTTGCTTGTTTGCATTTTTTGTTTTAGGCTGCGGGTGGGGTGCAGCGGGGGCTTCGACGAGTACGCCTTGATGTGGCCGAAGCGTTTACACCGAGTACTCAAGGACATGATTTGGGGAATTAAGCATGGATTTTTCTTTGTGCTTTGACTACGTAAACCCCGGGCTTTCTCTCAGGGTCCTGCAGCAGATGGGCGCGCCGCGCTTACTGAGCCTGCTGGAACATAGCTGGACGAAACAGTGCCGCTGGATCCAACTCGGAGGCGCCACTTTGCCGGAAGGACAGCGTGCCGGCTCATCTTTGCCTCAGGGATGCCCCGCAGCGCCGATGGGACTCACAGTGCTCCTGAAGTACCCTGCCATGCACCTTCGACGCCTGCTCCGAGACCGTGTGGAGGAGGTCATCTACTTAGACGACCGCAACATCGTCGTCACCAGCGCTCGTGATGCCGAGACCGTCATCCAGACATGGAATCGCTTCTCCCAGGAATTGGGACTTGTTGAGAACAGGCGTAAACTCCGGGTGCTGACGAAGGATCCCGCGCAGAGGCGGGCGCTGCAGAATCTTGGCATTGAGGTGCACCAGACGGCCAAGGTTTTGGGAGCCTCCTTTTTCTCCAACCTCGAGGATGACCCGGAGCTCAGTGACAGAGCGGAGAGGACAGCTATGCAGGTCAAGCGACTTCGGCTGTTGCCCATCGGGGAGACCCGCCGTGAGCTCATGTTTAGGACTCGAATCGCCACTGCAGCGGTTTGGGGTTTCTGGTTCAAGCCATGGTCTGAGCAACACTGCGCCGCCGTTGATACCTCGGCGCGTAAAGCTGTGGGCATCACCACGTCTGCGGCTCGCACTCTGTGGCAGCTTCTGGCAGGGCATCAGTTTGACATGAGATTCTTCGTCAGGCACTCCAGCATCCTCAGCTTCCTGCGCGCGGAGTGGTTCTGGCGGCAGAAGGGCATCACACTGCCCGGGGGACGATGGACTCAACAGATTAACGACGACCTCGAAGGCCTCGGCTTCGTCAAGATTGGACCGTGGAAGTGGCGGCATGCTGGAGCTGGCGATGTGTCATGGTTCCAGGGCGCTGCCAAGCAGGAGCTCCGTAAGACTGGTCATGTCATTCGCGAGGCATGGCGGCAAGGGCAGATGAGGGCCTTCCTTCGGATGACTCGTCATGAGGCCGTGGAAATTCAGGCGCAGGGGGCCACCTACCGCGAGGAGCAGGTCACCAAGACGAGGCGGCTCTACGCGAGGGCCACTGCAGAAGAGAGGGGAGTCCTCACAGCCGGAACCTGCAGCGAAGCTAACTACGGTCAGAAAAGCGCGGGGCGCGCGATGGCCTCGCCCACATCGTGCAGTGTGGCCTCTGCCAGGCCAGGGAAGTGCCAAACTGGGAACATGCAGCTTCGAGATGTTCGTACTTCTGCGAGGGCCGACTGCATCATCAGGATGATCCTTGGACGCGAAGGTTGGGTTGGGCTGCGCCGCATGAGTCACTGGCGCTGGCGACGGAGCGGCTGCGACGTCTGGCCGGGATTCGTGCAGAACTACGACAGCGCTTTGATCGCAGGCCAAAGGCGCACTCTGCTCAAATGCCAGGACGTGCCTATGTTAGTTCGAGAAGCTTGGGGGCTGGCGTCTTTTCGTCAGGCCTGCAGGCAAAGCTCAGATCAAAGTCAAAACATGGTCAATGCTTTCTTCTCAGCTGTGCGAACTGCATGGGCGGCCCAGTGCATCGGCACAGTTGCGTCCTACCCGTGGCTCAACAAGTGCATGGCCAAAACAAGTCATGATAAAAGCATGCTTAAGGAGGTCACCGAGCTCCAGCGCCACACGGGGCATGATTTTGCCCTGATCCCGCACGAGGTCTGTGTCAAAGAGAAGCGGGTCCGAGGTTCCTGGGGCTGCCTACAATGCTGTCAGATCTACGCCCACCTCGCCACTCTACGTCTTGCGGCGGCCAATGGTTATCTTGAACCTTGCCGGGGGCATGCGGACCGACCTCAACAAGGTCCAGATCAACCGGCCAGCGATCAACTCGCCTGATGAAGGAGGAGAAAGCCCTTTTCAACAAGCGCGGCAACAAGCTCCAGCAACAGCTCGGGGCCCCTCGGCCGCGCATAGCAGTGCGGAAACTGTTCCTTTCGGCCTCGAAAGACTCCCAGAACAAGTCACACAAGGACGAGGCGGCCAGCTCCTCTCAAGCAGCGCCTCCTTGCATGCCTAGCCCCTCTGCCGAACGCACCAAGCACGCTTACTGCACCTGCACCGACGTCCCCATGACCTTCGACGAGCAGACGGAGCTCTGGACATGGAAGTGCAGTCGCTGCGACGTGGAGTTCCATGGAAAGGAATCCCACAAGCTTGAAGCTCAAGGACGGCGCCACGTCAGGAAGCACCACGCCCAGGCGGTGAACAGCCCAGTTGCCCAAAAACACAGGGGCAAGTTGTGCTGGCCATGCACCGTTTACAAATGCAAGATCACCGCTGACACCAAGGCAAGGCTTAAGGACAGACGGCGATTGCGCATCGACGGCTTCCACCCCGATTGCGACGTTAGCCAGTTCCTCACCCTTGGCGGCAAGCCCGCTGGCTCGCAGAGGCCAGGGCCAAAAAGGGTTAAAGCCTTGCTAGACGCTGCAAAGCAGAGGGCATTGAGCCGAACCCAGGTCCATCAATACGTGGTGGCGCATCACCAAGGAGTTCCAGCTGGACTGTGTGAACGTCAACAGCTACATCAACGCGGCGAATGCTGTCGCCAACCTCCGGAAGCAAAACGCGAAGCCGAACATCTTCTGCATGGCCGAGGTCAAAGCAAGCAACGCTCAGAGAAACTTCCTCACCTTGCAGCTGAGGCGCTTGGGTTATCGGATTGTCTGGGTGCACGAACCTGACAGCACGCGCGCTAGAAGAGGCACGACCATCGCTGCTGGCGGCATCATGGTTGCAATGTTCGACACGGAGGCCTGTGCAGTCCTCGACAAGTGGCTGCACACGCAAGGTGAAATGATTCACTTTGATCTGGGCCACTCCTTCTGGACAGTCGCTCTGCGACGGCCCATAGCAGAGAGAGACCAGTACGACGCGGAGGTCAATACTCTCAAGCTGTATGCGGCCTCCAAAGCTTCTCCCTGGATGATTGTTGGCCATCAAAATGATCTCCCCGGCTTCTGAAGGCTGCCTCGTAGCAGAAGGAATCGGCCTGTAAATGACGACTGACTTTCCGGCAGATGCGTAAATGTGTTATATTTGGCTGGGAAATGGCTTTGTCGGAATTGCGAGTTATTTTAGTCGGCACAAAATAGAGTGTATACAAGTCTATAAGGGGATTGTGGTGCAATTGTCGTTTGCCTTGAGTCACCGAGTTCGTTCAATTTGTTGTGATTTTTGCCACGAATGCCGTCGACCCCCGGCAACATGAACGGGCTTGGGAGTGTGGGGGGTCGGGACAACAAAGTCCTTGCCCTCGTGTCCACCTCTCATCTCTTTCCGTTATGCCTTATGTGCTTTGTCCGATCCTACCCTTCCCTCTCTTCCCTTCCCTTAGATTGCCTTCCCTGCGCTCCCTTTACCTTCGTTCCTTCCTGCTCGTTTCCCGCAAGCGAAGCGTTCCCTCTCAGTCAGGAGCCCACCTGTGATGTAGATTGTGTTTGTTTGGATGCGGTTGGCATGCGGTGTTCATTGAAGTTCATCATGTAGGGGGAGACACGAAACATCAAGACACTTCCATCCGGCCATCCGCAGCTGTGCGTGTGGGTTGCCCGGTTGTGTATTTCATTGCGCGTTCGCCCCACCTGGTCATTTTTGGCTGTGAGATTTGGATTTATGTGACAGCATGGGCTTGGCAAGCAAAATCGAGTCCAGGAGGCCTTCCGAACAGAAAGGCTTCAGTCAAAGAAAGCATCAATGTTCCAGATCACATGTCCGGGGGCTTTGGGGCATCTGTCTACATGAAAAATGGGGATCGAGAATCGGATTTGCACATAGCGCGCATGCCACGTGTCACCAAAGTCCTCCATCCCAATGACGCGTGCATTGGCCAATGTTGGGCCTCACGAACACCACGATGTAACGCAAAGAACACTAAGACGAAGCGTCGGAAGATAGCATCCGTGCATCGTGTTGTTCAAGTTGAGAAGATGTATGCAAAAGCCGTAAGCATTCGTGTAGACAGGATAAAGACAGGTTTCGAATAATCTGTAATCTGTATAATCTATATAACCTACCTACAAAACATTTGAAAATGCCATGTTGGACCGAAGTTTGAAGCATCAAAACTACTACTTTTGGTTCGCATAGTTTGTGATCAAGTTGTACCTGTTGGTACAATGCCCCATGCATTCGTGAAATCAGTTTCGCTTGTGAGACTTGGGTCACGGATGACAAACAGACATGCATGAGCACACTTTACGCCTTCTAATGCGCAGGCGAAGCTTTTGTTTCTTTTATCAGTTCAGTGATGGCATAACCTACAAGAGTTAGCAGGGATTCATTACATTCTTTAGGCATCGTTTCTGAATGGCGAAGTGAAGCCGCTCTTTTGCGTGGTTTGGAATGTGAGATGGCACGAGGGGAATTTATGCAATGTGCATCCTTTGGCAGCTCCTTGCAATTTAACATATTCGCAACCAGCATCCATCCCAAAACATGCAAATGACGAACAACAAACACTGCAAAGCGTTCCATCCGCAGAGGTTCCACATTGCAATACCACCACCCTCAACTCCATCTTGAAGGCAGCAAGAGGCCAGATACAAGCGCGAAACCAAGCACGAACAACGACAAGTAATGGCTAGAATTTGGCTTTCAGGCAGGATCTTCGGAGACGAGAGTGGAAACATTAATCACGATGTTGATCGGGTGTTATATGCGGGAAATGTTTTCGGACTTATGTTAGAGAGACGGAAGGGGCCACGACTTTTCCTTGTGCTTCTTGTTCGGTGGCCTGGCTTTCACCGCTGCCCGCATGTTCGCAGCCCAGGACCTACTCCACGGCCTCCGA